GCAATTCTGCAAAGAGTGGTCCAGATTTCGTCCACAGTGAGGTAAAAGACTCATCGCAAGTTATCGCAAACACTTTAATTGCTGTTGCAACTGCCAAGGGTGGCTTAAATAGGCTTTTTAGGCTTAAGGGTACAGTTACTTTTTCACATGGGTGATATATAATTTTTGAATAGATCTTTATCTTTAATGAATAGAATAGTCAGTTAAAAGCTGCATTTTGTGTTTACTCATGTTGTCTTTGTCTTGTATTAAATTAGTTGGATGATCTGACACATTTAATGTGACAAATTAGCAAAAATAGAAGAAACTGGCAAGGGGGAAATACTTTTTCACAGCACTGTCCATCATCAGAAGGGGGGTGGGTGGTTACTCTTTACTCTTACCCGGTTATATGGTCACTGCTAATATAGTTTCCATGAAAACTGACAAAAGCATGCTGCATGTCTGAAAACAGTAGCAGCCAACACATGCATTTTGGCCATAGCTTTATCCTTTTTTAGATAATCGGCCTGTCATACAAACTGGCAACTATATATTACTTGTTAACTACATCACCCTCAATACTTAAGTGCAAAACAAAACAAGCAAACTTTGGACATGGTCTTGGCTGACTGACTAATTTGTGTTAAGGGGGAATTGTGTAAACTTATTTTCCAATCTTTCGCTTTGCTTTCCTTTCTGACTGTTTAGTGCTGGTTAGCTTTACCATTGACAGTTTCTGTGGCTATTTCCAAGCTGAAGGACATTTTCCAGCATTAGATGCAGTGCATGAGGTAATTTTCAGCCAGAGGACATTTTTCAGACATAACATCCACCCTCAATAACACTGAGGGTCAGCGGCCAGGCTCGGGCCAATGCGGGCTTAGTCCACCAGCAGCCAGCAAGCTAAAGTTATTACCTGTCCATCCAACCAAACACAGTCTTTAATCTCCCCAAAGGCAACATTTTTTTAAGGTGCACCTGAGAAATTCAGTCCTGAAAATAGTTGTAAACATAAACACACACAAACCCAAACCTTCAGCTGTGTCCTTGACTTGGGCTGTTGTGCCGCTTCCATGTTTTGATGGCTCCAGAAAATAAGATTCGTACAGCAGGATAAAGCCCTTTCATCAGCGCCTGAGAGTCATCCTGGGTGAAAGGATTTGGCTTATGAATAAATAATAGTCATTATAAACCTTTCTCAACTCTGTACACCACTGGATTTTTTTAAAGCTGAGGCTACTGCTTCTGATTGCTAGTGTGAATTAAAATCCCAGTCAGAGCAAAGTCAGAGACCACCCATTCATTTATGGAGTTTCCAGGCAAAACGGCCTTTAAGTACAAAAAAGTGTAAAAAAAAAAATTACACAGAAGCCTCAACAAATAAATATAATCGCTTTTTTCTTTTCAAAGAAATCTGCAGGGATATTTTCCACACCTCCAAAGTTCAGTCTGGAAGTTGGTTGATCATTGTCTGAATTAATGCAAACACATTCAGTGATGTTAAGGTCTGGACTCTGGGGTGGTCAGTCCATTGTTCAGCTTCTTTGTTTGATGTGTCCGTCTCCTTTTCTCAGAGAGGCTTCTTGAACAGCTACACATCCTTTCAGACCCATAGCACTGAGTCGTCTTCTCACAATGGAAGGATGGACAGAAACACCTGTGGATGTTTTCAGATCTGAAGCAGCTTGATTTTCTCCTCTCACTAAAAGATGGAAACTTTAAGTGCTGTTTATCTGATGGGGACAGTTTTGGTGTCTACCAGGTCTTCCAGGTGGTTGCTAGGTGTCTCATTTTTTGTGTCTTTCAAATCCAGTAATAAAAATGTATATTTTGTCACTTATTTCCTAAGAAATCTTAAAAATGAATAACTTGTACTGAATTGCTGTTTTGACTGGAATAAACAAGGGGCAAGTCTCCAACCTTTAAACAGAACTACATATCTTTAAACAGCATGGGATAGGCCCAATAAATACATTTATTTTTCATTAAAATGGGTAAAATGTGTAATTCATAGGAGAATACAAATGTCTATGAATCCATTTTCGTACCACACTTTGAACTACTGGGGTCAGGTAAACAGCCTTCAGTGCAAAACAAATCTCTCTTTCACCAACATATTGAGAAATTCATCCTTGTGTCAGTCTGTGGAGTGGAACGTCTAAAATGTCCTTCACTAAAGTGGCAGCTAAAGTAATGCAAGGAAGTACAGAAAGGACGTAAGAGGAAAAGAAAAAAATCAGGATGGCTTCAATGAAAAATGAACAAAGCAGTATGTTTATCTTACTTTTATTAGTTATATAAGTTAAGTCACAAACCTGTATTCGTAAAAATTCACAGTTTGCATCCAAACAGTGCTTTAAACATCTCACTTTGTTTAAAAAATAATCTTTTTGAAGTGTCCATTTTGTGCAGACCAAAGATTGCATCACCCTAAAGTTAAGAAGAGTCTGTTTGATCTTGCTTTTTTGATCCATTGCTGGGTGGAGCCTGTGGAGGCACAGATGGGTTGCCATGTAGCAGTCTTGCTTTGATAGGTTGTCACATCTCTCCTCTAACAAGGTCATCAGGTCCTCCTCAGTATGGCACATGTCTTTGTATGCTCTTAGAGGGTTTCTTTAACCTTGTTAGCATGTAGCAGGAGATAAATGCAACCAGAAAGCTTCAAAAATGTCCAACTCTATCGTCTTGAGTCCTTCCAAACCAGTGTCTTGGCTTTGAGCTCAGTGGTTCCTGACCCTGATCTGGGATAACCCCTGTATTGATGTGATTTTAGCATTTTCCCTATGCTAACCCACTCATCTTACTTTAGGAGAGGTTGGTAAAGTTGTATTATGTAAGATGTTTTGGTTAAAATTGAAAGAAGTAGCATTAGTCAGCAGAACAGAAAATGCGAAAGGGGGAGGGCAAGGGGTCCAAAGCACAGCTGATGTTACAAAATGTTCTTCTGCATGTTGCGTGCAATTACAACCCCATTTCCTAAAAAGTTGGGACGCTGTGCAAAATGCGAATAAAAACAAAATGCAATGTTGTGCAAATCATTTAAACCCTATATTTCATTGAAAATAGTACAAAAACTACAAATCAAATGCTGAAATTGAGAAATTTTGTTTTTTGAAAAATATATGCCCATTTTGAATTTGATGCCAACAGCACAATCCAAAAAAGTTGGCATGTTTACCACTGTTTTTCATCACCTCTTGATCACCTCTGTAAGGGAACTGAGAAGACCGACTGCTGTAGTTTTAAAAATGAAATGTTTTCCCATTCCTACCTGATGTAGGATTTCAGCTGCTCAACAGTTTGGGGTCTCTTGTTTTTCGTTACATAAAGTGCCAAATGTTTTTAATGGGTGTCAGGTCTGGACTGCAGACAGGCCAGTTTAGCACCCGGACTCTTTTAATACGGAGCCATGCTGCTGTAATACAGGCAGAATGTGGTTTGGCATTGTCTTGCTGAAATAATCCTGAAATGAGGCCTTCCCTGAAAAAGTCGTCTTCTGGATGGCAGCATATGTTGCCAAAACATGTATGCATTGTTCACCATTAATGCTGCCTTCAAAGATGTGCATGTAAGCCATGTCATGTGCACTAATGCACCCCAATACCATCATGAATACTGGCTTTTGAACTGTGCACTGATAACAAGCTGAGTGGTGTTTAGCCCAGAGGACACAGTGTCCATGATTTCCAAAATAATTTAAAATTTTGATTCGTCAGACCACAGGACACTTTTCCACTTCTCCTCAGTCCATTTTAAATGATCTCGGGCCCAGAGAAGGTGGCGGCATTTCTGGATCCTGTGTGTATATATATATATATATATAGTTTCTTTTTTTTGCGTTTTAGAGTTTTAACTTGCATTTGTGGATGCAGCAACAAACTGTTTTCATAGATAGTGGTTTTCAGAAGTGTTTCTGAGCCCATGCAGTGATTTCCTCTACAGAATCGTGTCTGTTTTTAATGCAGTGCCACCTGAGGGTCCAAAGATCACGGCTAGTAAATATTGCTTTTTGACCTTGTCCCTTGCATACAGAGTTTTCTCCAGATTCTCTACTTCTTTTAATAATATTATGTACCATAGATGATGAAAAGCAAAAGTTCTTTGCTCTTTTATGTTGAGAAATGTTATTGTTGAACTGTTGCCCTATTTGATCGCGCAGTCTTTCACAGAGTGGTGAACCCCTCCCCAGCTTTACTTCTGAAAGACTCAGCCTCTCTGGGATGCTTTTTATACCCAATAATGTTACTGACCTGTAGCCAATTTTTAGCATTACACAACTTTACCAGTCTTTTGTTGTCCCCATTCTAACTTTTTTGGAATGTGTTGTTGGCAGCAAATTTAAAATGGGCATATATTTTTCAAAAAACAATAACATTTCTCAGTATCAACATTTGATATGTTGTCTTTGTACTATTTTCAATTAAATATAGGGTTTAAATGATTTTCACATTGTTGCATTTTGTTTTTATTTACATTTCGCACAGTGTCCCAACTTTTTAGGAAATGGGGTTGTACATATTTCCACCTTGTTCCCAAAACGTATATTGTTTAGCTCTAATTAATAATATTGGCAAACTGTGAATATTAGAGGTAGGTTTAGGTTTTGGCCATAAAGGTAAAAAATAAGGAAAAATACCATAATGCTCATTTTTGCCAGGCCATAAAGGCCTAACCTATGGGGGAGCTTGCTTAGCTGTATCTACCTAGACACCATGGTGAAGAAAATATTAACTGGATCAATTTTGTTTGTAGTTTCAAGAATGAAACCCTTTTGTTTCTAACCAAAACTTACTGAGGAATTAAGAGTATTGCTGCATTACTTGTAGGGGTTTAGCATCATTTTAGTGTGTTTTCATATCACAGAAATCATTAGGCCTTCGCTCAAGATTTAGAAGCCCCTGATGGTTTCCTTATTAATTAATTAACATTTTAGTTGTATTAGTGCAGGGAAAACATCAAAATATGTAGGGGAAATCCAAGACCAAGGTTGGGAAAAACTGTTTTATCCATCTGTGGATTGGCCGGAAACAGCAGTTATGGGAGAAATCACCTCCTGTAGAATACAGTACCAAAGTGTACCTGTGGTATCTCTTGCTGATCACTTTACCCTGTGACCTGATGCTAGCATAGAATTTGGGCAGAGGCAGAGATGGGACACTTGTCCAGCAGCTTTGATTGGGCATTTCCTCTTTCCTTTCAAGACACTCTTACACATACCCAAATATTAGCAAATAGCTGTCTCCTCTTCTAAGGGCTAGCCTTCGCCAGGTGCTAGCCTCAGCTGAGTGCTCGCCTCTGCTAGGTGTTAGATGGAGCTACATGTCGGCTATGACCTCTGGAACCGAGAAGAACCTAGAGGAACCGGGCCACTCCGGGCTTCTCCAGAGACTTGGACGGCTGGTCCAGAACAGACACCTCTATCATCATAAGCAGTCCCTGCATAGCGCCACCTGGCCTTTGCGGAAGTCCCTGCAGGGACAGATGCGTCTGTATTTAGCGCTAAAGCCTGCGCAGCTGAACAAGAGCAATTCCTTCTGCAGGCCACACTCGCGCCTAGTTACAGAGAATGCCGGAAAGATGTGGTTCACCTCCAGCTCCACCACCTCGCACTGGATCTCCAGCCTGAAAGGAGAAAGAGATCAGAGACTAAAGAAGGAAACGTCAAAAGAGACAGCTAAAGAAAATGGCTAACAGGAGGCGAAGGTGAAGAATAAGCTGCGAAAGAAGAGACAGGAGACTGAATGAGAAGAGAGGAGAGAGGATGAAAAAGCAGGGAAGGGTTGAGGGTATGGAATAAAAGACAGATGAAAGGGCAGGTTAAATGAAGAGAGATGGTGGCTAAGAAAAGGTGAGATAGCAAGGCTGGGGAGAAAGAGAGAGGATAATAGAGAGAAAAAGACAATCTGCTATTCTTTGTTGCGGCTGCCAGTGATGTAACTAGATCCACTGTTCTGATACGCAGTTCCATGACACTGTCGCGTCTTTGAACTGTAGGTCCTCATACACAATTCCCTTTATGCTTTCTGTGGCAGGAAGAGGCCCCAGTGGAAGCCGATCAACTGTTAGATTCTGTTAGCTAAATTCAAAATCACAATAGCTAGCAAAGAAAGTTTAAGCTTGCTGCACACTGTCCAGTGACAGAGACACACAAATAAGGTATTTTAGTAATGCTTGAATATTTATGAACATTTTTCATTTTTAAAATGGTTTTTAATAAATAGATTATATTGCATTGACATAAGTGATCTGTACGAGTTCCACTGGCACATTATGGCAACTACTTTACATCAGTTTATTGTTTGATTTGTATTGTTTGCATGCATGTTTTGATGTTTCCCCACTAGCTGAGGAGTTTGCCATTGTATCCACCAAGATATCGACCGAAAATGATTATCCCTCCATGGCTGAAAGTCTTTGTGGGCTGGCCACTAAAACCATGCTATAACATCGCTACGAGGCTGTTGGGACTCAAGACTACTTGAACTGGCCACTTAAGTGACACTGCACCACCACTGTGAGGCTATCTGGATTGGCTATTTAAGTAACACTGCACCACCACTGAAAGACTGCCTGGACCTGCTTAAGTGACACTGCACTGCAGCTACGTGGCCATGTTTGGCTGTATGAGTGGTGCTACACTACAATTGACAGAGTGAATGACACTGCATCACCACTGTGAGGCTTCCTGAATTGACAGTTTGAGTGACACAGCACTACCACTGCGAGGCTGCCTGGATTGGCCACTTGAGTGACACTGCACCACCACTGCGAGGCTATCTGGATTGGCTATTTAAGTAACACTGCACCACCACTGCAAAGCTGCTTGGATTGGCCACTTGAGTAACAGTGCACCAACACTGCAAGGCTGTGTTCGGCTGCATAAGTGGAGCTACACCACCACTGTGAGGCTACTTGAACTGGCTGCTTGAGTGACCCTGAACTACTACTGCGAGTCTGCCTGGATTAACCATTTGAGTGACACTGCACCACCACTGCAAGGCTGCCTGGACTAGCCACTTGAGTGACACTGCACCACCACTGCAAGGCTGCCTAGATCGGCCACTTGAGTGACTCTGCATCACCACTATTAGGCTGCCTGGACTGGCTGCTTGAGTGACACTGCACCACAGCCACGTGGCTGCCTTGACCAGAAATGTTCAGCTGCATGAGTGGTGCTATTCTGCAGCTGCAAGGCTGTTTAGGCTGCCTGTGTGAGTGCTGCTACATTGCAACTATGAAGCTGCTTGGGTCAGCAGCTTGAGCAGCACTCAAGAAAGTTGTCATGACAAATTTTGTTCAGTAATGCAACAGTTATTTTATAATTGTAATTGTCATGACAGATGCCAAAATGTCATGAATGACGGTTATGTCACATGTTACATTGTGCTATGTGCTCTTGTAAGCTGTCATGACATCAAGTGTGACATCTGTCATAAAAAATAACGGCAATTGGACCCACCAGGATTTCATGGCCATTTTTTTTGTGCTTGTCAGACTAAAATGCTTCAATATGCAGCAGTTGTGGTCAGACTAGCTTAGATATCAGATACTCCATTTACATGTGGGCAGAGCAGCTGAGACTGTAGAAGTAAGGTAAAGTTTGGACCAAACTGCTAGCTCTGGCAAGTACTGTGAGGATTGACCAAGTGAAGAATTAAAATTTCTGAAGGGTCAGAATAAATGTGTGTCAATTTAGTTTAATATGTCAATACAATATAGTTTACCGAACATATTGAAATATTGCTTTATAAATATAAATGCTTTATTCAATGCTTATGCATGTGGTATAAAACTCCAATAAAGATAGCCTTCAAATGAGCTGTTACTCTTTATTCTATATTATATTGTTCAAGATGACACTGACAATTTATTTTTGTTGAGATATACCGTTACAAAATTCATTCGTCTTTTTTCTGTTTATTCATAAATTTGGAAAATGTCTACAGTCTGCTTGGACTATTCATAAGCTTCAGCTCACACTTTAAAAAATAAATGTGCCAAAATAAGTTCTTTATGTGATACTAGAGAATTAAATAAATGAAATAATTTGGCAGAAGAACCATTACAAGGACCATTCTTGCAAATGTGCTGAGTGTGAAGAACCTTTGTGAAGGTTACAGTATCTCCACAAAATGCAAAGTTTCTAGAAAGAACGGTGAAATTGGTATCGGACCTCTACATAATAAAAGATTCATCATGCTCCCAATTATCTTGTCAATTATCTTGAGTCTTAGGTTCTGAAACCAAAAGTGTTACTTCTACACTATATTAGATAAAAAAGATTCTGAGAAGGTCCAGAACACTTTTTGCTGATTTATAGAACCATTTAAAAAGAATTTTTGAAAAATCATTCACAGCAGTTTTTCATATCAGAGAAGAAACATTTAACCCCTTAAATAGTCAGGGCCCGCCAGAAGGCCCAAAGTTTTATTACACACTTCTATAACCTAAGAATAGCTCAACCAGTTTGCATCGAAGTCCCTATAGTTCCTGAATAATAAGTCTTAGTATATTATAAGGGTTCATTTTAAGGAGTTAATTATGTAAAGAACCATTTATGCTTTCAAATCTTTGAGTTGTTGTATTTCCTTTGTCTTTCCTAAAGAACCCCTTTTTAACGGTGTATGACTTTGCTTAAACAACACTTTGTTGCACTCCTTTTATCCAAAGAGTGCATGTTGTGCTATTGGTGGATTTTAGTTATGTGGCATAGCAGTCACACTTTCACAGATTTTGGTCTAAGTTCTCTGGCAGAACTTCATTATCAGCCTCTTTCAGTCACACTAATTCAGATGCTGGTGAGTGTTTCTACGCTCATTGTCCATTTTATCAGCTCCACTTACTATTATAGGTACACTTTGTAGTTCTACAATTACAGACTGTAGTCCATCTGTTTCTCTGCATACTTTGTTAGCCCCGTTTTACCCTGTTCTTCTGTGGTCAGGACCCCCATGGACCCTCACAGAGCAGATACTATTTGGGTGGTGGATCATTCTCAGCACTGCAGTAACACTGACGTGGTGGTGGTGTATTAGTGTGTGTTGTGCTGGTATGAGTGGATCAGACACAGCAGTGCTGCTGGAGTTTTTAAACACTGTGTCCACTCATTGTCCACTCTATTAGACACTCCTACCTTGTCAGTCCACCTTGTAGATGTAAAGTCAGAGACGATAGCTCATCTGCTGCTGCAAAGTCCAGCAGTGACACTGAGATGTTTAAAAGCTCCAGCAGCACTGCTGTGTCTGATCCACTCATACCAGCGCAACACACACTAACACACCACCACCACATCGGTGTTACTGCAGTGCTGAGAATGATCCACCACCCAAATAACACCTGCTCTGTGAGGGTCCATGGGGGTCCTGACCACTGAAGAACAGGGTAAAAGGGGGCTAAGAAAGTATGCAGAGAAACAGATGGACTACAGTCTGTAATTGTAGAACTACAAAGTGCACCTATTTAGTAAGTGGAGCTGATAAAATGGACAATGAGCGTAGAAACAAGGAGGTGGTCATAATGTTAGGCCTGATCGGTGCATCTAGTCTGTATCATATCTAGTAGTCTAGAGGAATTACATGTTTTGTCCCCTATTTTCAAGCAGATTCCTCCCCAATTTAGTCGTATCCAATTCCACCCAGTAGTTATGTATCCTCATATTGCAATTCTTCAATGATACATGCCGCAAAACGTCTTTTTGAACTACCGCTAACACAGCTTCATGGACAGCTCAACATGCTTGGAGGAGAACACTAATTGCTAATTCTGTTGCATCAGAAGAGACACCCACATTGGCTAGCATGGCGGGGTGGTTGCTAAGATGTAGCCAGGTGGTTGCTATGGTGTCCAAAGTGGTTGCTAAGCTGTTGTAATGCAGTTGCTATGGTGTCCAAGTTGGTTGCTTAGCTGTTAGGGTAGCGTAAGGTTAGGCCATGCTACCCACCCAAAAATAATGAGGCCAATTTTGCTTTGTTGGATTCCCAATCTAGGTTTGCCAGAAAGGATTAAATGGTCAGTCAAAAGAAACTGAAACTCACTTGCTCAGTGCCTCCTTGTTGTTGATGAAGCGAAAGAAGGCAGGTTCACACACCAAGCCTGAGGTCTGGCAGGCCTCCACGCACGACTGGCCCTCTTTGGACACCATGAGCCTCAGGGCGCTCAGTGGAGGCCAGCAGGGTGGCGCTGTAGAGTTAGAAGCCCAGCCTAGGAGCGTTGAGTTGGGCAGCAGGGTGAACGGACCCCTAGGCCAAACTCTGGAGGCGTTGGCTGGAGGAAATGGAGCCTCTGGACTGCAAAAGTCCTGTACAAGGAGAGATAGGGAGTGAAATTCTCCTAAAAAGCTATATTTTCATATTCTTCCCCCAGAGATGCACCACTGACAAGCAAAAGAAAAGTCTTTTTCAGCTACTGCTTTTTTCCAAAAGAATATTCACTTGTTGGCCTTATATTAATAATGTCTTTCTGGCAAAAATACAATTCTCTAATTTAACAATGATGTGGTAGTTCACAAAGTTTAAAAGCGAACACAAAAACAACATGTTTTCCTCTGTTTTCTAGATGACAAACAACAACATACTGTAAGAACACAGCACACATTAATAATGAGTACATGTTTTGAAATTAAGCGAGATCATTTTGACAGGTCTTGGGATGGTTGTCAGAAAAAAGTATGCAGATTAAATTATTTTTATTATAATTATTATTATTAGTAAGTTCTATCAAGACTCCTGGCAGCCATATGTATAATGTTCTTCAGAACGTCATGTCCTCTGTTTGGATCTTTAGGTTTCTTAATGGCTTGTTTATGATATTCATGATTGTGATAATAAATTGAGAAATAAAATTTCTGACTTTAGAATCGAGTGACATCCAATTTTTACTTGAGCAAAAATCTGATACCTCATTAGTTGTCTTTAGTGATGCAAAGTTAGCATGAACTCTGATCAAATTCAGAAATCCTGATAACAGATTCAACTTTGCATCATAAAATAATGACGCAAAGTTTAGTGTTATAAACTAAGCATGAAACTTGTTCCCAAATCATTCTCATTCCTCTCAGAATGCTGAATTTAAATTCAAATTCCAAAGCCAGCAACATGTTCTCCTCTTTTCCTTCCTAAACAGCCTGATGATATTTTATAATGTTCATCATTTATAAAGTCTGAAGGTCATGAGGGGAGTATAGCTGCTAATACAAAGGGAAAGATTAATCATTATGATTAAATACACAAGATCAATCACATTTTAACATGAGAGTGCCATTGACTGGGATAATCATACGAAATGAGCTTAATGGAATTTTTGAGCACATTAAAGATTATAAGAATATGTTCTTACTTCACTGAGTAAAATTTGTAATATTTCTTGTTTTTCTTTTTGAAATAAATGGCTCTAAATGTAGATACTGTGATACAAACTGAGTCTGTTGTACAGTTTCTCATCAGGTTGAATAAATATGTAGGTATTGTGATATAAACTGAGTCTGTTCTACAGTTTCTCATTAGGTTACATGAATATAAACTGAGTCTGTTCTACAGTTTCTCATTAGCTTGAATGAATAACCGACTCTAAATGTAGGTATTGTGGTATAAACTGAGTCTGTTCTAGAGTTTCTCATTAGGTTAAATGAATAACTGACTCTAAATGTAGGTATTGTGATAGAAACTGAGTCTGTTCTGCAGTTTCTCATTAGCTTGAATGAATAACCGACTCTAAATGTAGGTATTGTGATGTAAACTGAGTCTGTTCTACAGTTTCTCATTAGGTTGAATAAATAACCGACTTTAAATGTAGGTATTATGACATAAACTGAGTCTGTTCTACAGTTTCTCATTAGGTTACAAGAATAGCTGTTTTTATTTTTATATTATTTTTTCAATTTTTACCCGGTTTTCTCCCGAATTTAGTCATCTCCAATTCCACCCACTAGTTAGGACTCCCCCAATCACACACGACGCTATCAATGCTAGGAGGGTGAAAGCTAACACAGGCTTCCTCCGAGGCCTGTGAAACCAGCCACCGCATCTTTTCGAACTGCCGTTCACGCAACGTCACTGGACAGCTGAACGCGCTCGGAGGAAAGCGCCAACCGCCAGATCTGTTACGTCAGCTAACAGACGCCTGCGCTGACTAGCATCACGCTGAGTGAATGATGGGGGGAGAAAGGCAGCCATTCCACCCACCCAGAGAGAGCGAGGCTGTGCTCTCTCGGACTCCCGGCTACGGATGGCTGTAGCATCACCAGGGATCGAACTCGCGATCTCCTGATGACAGGGCCAACGCTTAGACGGTTGTGCCACTCGGGAGCCCAGAAAAGCTGTTTTTAAATGTCAGGGTTCCTTTAAACAACTTGAGGCATATGCAATGCTTTAGGCAGTTAGCACTGTGCTAATTGGTGGGGTATAAGCTTCCATTACCTGTTACCTACATTGTGTGCTATAAGGAGAACATTGTGAACTATCACTTTAATCTTTTGTCTATCCTGCCTGCTCTCTTTTTCACATTTTTAGTGAGCTATTTCACTCCCTTGTATGCCTTTTCAATCTTTAGAGTGGCTATGATTTTTTCCTTTATCCACTATTCATGTTCCTGTTGTGTTCAGCTCAATAGCGGTGGATCAGGCTGTAATCAGTCAGCTGCAGTGTGTGATTATGGATTGAATGATGTGCTGCAGGCAGGTGTGAGATGGAAAGAGTAAGTATGTGTGTATTAATATTATAAATCATAACAGGAGAAAAAGGGTGGGGTTCACATGCTGAACAGACTTTTGTGTGGGTAATCTGGGTAAGTGTAAACATAGAGCTTTTGTTCAGAAGTCAGAGACTACTCAGGTTTATTTCATTTCCAGTCAGGATGAGCGTTAAGAAAAAGGGTGTTCATTCTTCGGGAGGTTACATGTAAAATAATTCACGCGTGTAATGAAGGAGAAAGTCAAAGAAAAATAAGTGAAAAAACTGCAGTTTCCAAAACTGGAATTCAAAAAAATGATGCAAAGCCACAAAAAAATGGGACTCCTAACAGCCACCTGGAAGACCTGTTAGACAGCAAAACTGTCCCCATCAGATAAACAGCATTTAAAGCTTTCATGTCTGAGAGAGAGGAGAAAATCAAGCTGCTTCAGATCTGAAAACATCCACAGGTGTTTCTGTCCATCCTTCCACTGTGAGAAGATGACTCAGTGCTATGGGTCTGAAAGGATGTGTAGCTGTTCAAGAAGCCTCACTGAGAAAAGGAGACAGACACATCAAACAAAGAAGTTGAAAAATGGACTGACCACCTCAGAGTCCAGACCTCAGCATCACTGAATGTGTTTGATTACTTCAGAATATGATCAACCAACTTCTAAGACTGAACTTTGGTGGTGTGTCTGCAGATTTATGTGAGAAACTGAAAGTGAGTCTCCGGAAAAGAATGGAAGCTGTAATAACAGGAAAGAGTCACACACTGAATACTGAAAATTTTGAGATTATATTAAGTTGTTGAAGCTTCTGGGTGATTTTCTGTTAAACATGTTTTCTGTCTTTTTCCTGACTTAAGTAATAAAGTAATGACTTGTAGTTAATGATTGTTTTGATTAGAAATTAAATGAAAGGTGGTTTCTGACTTTTACACAGTGCTGTAGAAAAAGATGCCTTAATATTTATACACCGACCAGGGATAACAGTATGACCACCTCCTTGTTTCTACGCTCACTGTACATTTTATCAGCTCCACTTACTATATAGGTGCACTTTGTAGTTCTACAATTACAGACTGTAGTCCATCCGTTTCTCTGAAGAACAGGGCAAAAGGGGGCTAGAGTCTGTAATTGTAGAACTACACCTGTAAATTAAGTGGAGCTGATAAAATGGACAATGAGCATTGAAAAAAAAAGAATATATATATATATATTTATATATATATATATATATATATATATATATATATATGGATATATATGTATATATATATATATATATATGTGTGTGTGTGTGTGTTTGTGTGTGTGTGTGTGTGTGGGTGTGGGTGAACTCACCTGATGCTGAATGTAAGCATGAACCCTCTCAAGCATCCCCTCACACGTATACTCGTAGGGCAAATACGGCTCCACCTGAAACCACACAAACACGTCACTTCTATACTTCTATTGAAAAGACTCCTGTTTCTTCATCACTGTTTGAAGTTCTTTCTTCCCTCCTTGCTCATCATTATTCAAGCTAATTGCAATCAAAAGGTATTTCAGCCCATTAGTCAAAACAGACAAACGTGGTAATTGCCAGGCTCGTCAGGTTTAATTGCCTTTGGCTTTGTGACAGTCAGGAACCGCTGACTCGATAAATCACATTTTCATCTCCTTTTGTCATAGACGCGAATGATCTCGTAGCCTAATGAAAATCTGTAACAAACCGCGCGCTTGATTAAACTGATTCGATTTATGCAGTCTTTCGTAAACAATTCGGTCTCCCTTGAAATGTCTCGAAATGCCAAGCGACGTCGCCATGAACACCTCGGGAGATGAAAAAGCACTTGAACGATGTTGCTAAAAATATAGAAACGCTCCCTGCAGATTAATTACAGTAGGTTCATACACGTTTATAGAATATAGAAGCTTTAGTCTTGCTTTATTTTCTTTAGTCTACTACATCCTGACCATGCTCACTTCAAAGCTAGATCCTGCAATGTCTTTCTGTGTGTAAATCTCAATTACAGCTGTCATGAGATCTGCAGTGACAAACACAAGTAAAGCAATCTCACTGTAGAGCAGAGAGGAGGGGAGGTTAATTGGTTTCAGCAAACTCTTGTGGTGATTGACAGCACCAGCAGCTAATGCAGCGTGTATATTAGCTGTGGGCTATAGTTGTATGGTCAGTCTGTTGAACAGAAAGCTCCTCACTCTGATAGCTCTGATCTAATGTGAGCAGACATGTACTTTATTTGTGATTAGCAGCCCATGAAACAATGATTAACCTTATCAAAGTCAACGTCTTGTCAGCGATATGTTCAGAGGCCTTGGCAATGCCCCCTTTCACACATATGCCACTGGAGGAGTTATAATGCATGCTTGTCCATGCTGACCAATAAAAAATGGATCAGCATGTGGAATTGTATCTGTTTATCATAACAAAATCACAATAACTATACTGTTTTACTGTTGTTGTCACATAAAAGTTGAGCAGAGACATTGTTAGTACAGTGCAGTGATAGGCCACAAAGATCATTACATTGTAGTAGCTTATGACTGTTAATATAGTTGACAACATTGGCTATAAGTGCTATGCATTTGGTTAATAAAATGTCATAAATATGGTGTGCATTAACATTTTTTGGCCATTTTAGTTCAAACACAGGCATTTAAAGCTCGTAAAAGTCATTCCACGTACATTCATATACTTTATTACCTTGTATGCGGCAGTTCTACAGTGGCTCTTTCAGTTAAGAGTCTTGACACAGAACTGCTGCCGCTGTTTCCTACAATTACAGCTTATATTCAAAATCACTGATGTATCTAGAACTTGAATAAGGCCTAGAGTGATGTTTTTTCCATTGTAAATCCAAACATGATTGGGTCCTAAGAATATATGTAATCTAACATTTAAGGCCTTCAGTCCGTCTCCTGTAGGTTGAATGAATCTACTTAGACGCTGTTTACACCTGGTCACTTCATGCGTCTTGAGTATCAGGATTATATCCTCCCAGTACAACTGAAACACCTCCCAGTACGACTGAAACTCCTCCCAGTGCAACAAAAACTCCTCCCAGAACAACTGAAACTCCTCCCAGTACAACCAAAACCACTGCCAGTACAGCTGAAACTCCTCCCAGTACAACTGAAACTCCTCTCAGAAGAACTGAAACTCCTCCCAGTACAACCAAAACCACTGACAGTACAGCTGAAACTCCTGCCAGTACAACCAAAATCCCTCCTAGTACAACCAAAACTCCTCCTTGTACAACTGGCACTCCTCCCAGTACAACCGAAACCCCTCTCAATTGGTAATTGGTTGCCATGCAACGAGAAGATTTGCATACTCCATCCCACACAGCAATCAGATTTCAGTCCGACTAACCAGAGACGCATTTGATACCAAGTGTAAATGTATGTGGCTAAAATCTTGTCAAAATACAATCCAGATACAAGTCACATGAAGTAACCAGGTGTAAACGGGTTCTCAGATATCACAAAGAAAAAAAAAAAACTTGACTGGATTATTTTCCTTTTGCCATTTCAAATCTTATAATCCCGGAACAAGATTTAAATTAGATAAGAATTAAGAGAGATTAAAATCAAGAAGTATGATGATGTTATTAAATAAAAATGAACTAAAAATGACAGATTTGTTTAACTCTCTGTGTTCATTGGGCCTTCTCTGAAGGCCTAAAAGGTTCTGAGCGTTCCCCACTGACTCTATGTGTTTGTGATCTGAAGAGTTTGTTTCTCTAACGCACACAACTTTAAATAATAGATGCATAAAAAAGGACAGAAAGGTTCCCATTTTGATGAGAAAAGGACACATTAAGTGGAATGCATGTGGAATCGATTCCGTCAGACGGACAACTAAAAACTATTTTGTTTTCAGTGTGGATTGGCCTTAATGATATACCATAAACAGTACTCTGTGTTTTCACATTTGGGGATTTTCAACTACGGCACAAGTGCAAATTTTCCATTCAACATATCTCCCACCCTTTTCATCTCTCCACTTTTTCTGATGCATTAACCCCCTGAGAGAAGAAACTAACACTGTTAATGAACGCCTGCCATCATCGATTACTGTTTCTACCTGAGATTCCTACAGTTTGACTGCTTGAAACCACATGTGTCAGTCTCCAGAGACAAGCTGGCTAATATATTGGTATTACTGAGAGATCCTTTCAGCTACTTTGTAATTGAGGCCTGAAAGGACCAGGGAAGATAATTATATTAATTAGATCCATTAATCAGGTGACTGCTTCAACAAAGTGAAAACATGTTGGCCAAGTACTGAGACTAAGTACCTCTACTGTGCCACTGCAAAATTAGTGCTTTTGAATCTAGATTTAAGTGTAAAAGGTCTTTAATACAATCATATATTATGTTTACATGCAGCTGTCCATTCTACTATCAAGAAACCTAAGAGTTTATTCAGGACAAAGCCACAATGTACAAGCACTGCAGTCATTTCAGAGTAATCAGACTGAATGAATCTCATTTGGAATGAATGAAGTGGATTAATGCATTCTAAAGGAGGATATTAGCAACTAATAGACATATTAATGCTCAGATCTGATTGTTCCCTCAACTGGAACAGCTGCAATCAATCAGCACATCACAAACAAATGTCTATTGTGCCTCAATAATGTGGCAGGTGTTGCTAATCATAAAGTGTCCCTGTGTGTCTCAAACCATGCTGAATGACTCTGTTCAAAATAGCCAACAACATGCCTGAAAGTAGCTAGTAGTTCGCAGTACATGACCAACATGAACTTCTCCTGGACACTGGATGATGTACTACTCTGGTAAAAATATTCCAGCACGCTGCTAGAGCCATCTTTATGATATACGGCGTCCCATAATGCAACACTGTCATTTCAGCTAGATAGAACCATGAACATAACCATCTGATGGTCATGTGACCCTGTAGTACAATACACACTACGTGATGGTAATGCATATTACACTGCACATTATACTGTATTCTCCTATAAGGAGTAGCATGCAGTATACAGTATATACTGGTACAGTATGTAAGACACAGTATATGCTGATACACTATACAATATTCATATGGATACATATATTGTTGTGTTCTGCTACTGGCTGGGGCTGGTGCCTGAGACTTTGGAGGTGTGGCTATGCGGATGACTGCACGCAAAGCCTCATGGTATGCGCACACCCTCCTGAAAAGGGACTATTTATGTTGTTTATGTGATTTGTGTTGTTTATTGTTGGGGGCTGTGGGTTTTGTGTGTGAGGGGAGGTCACCGTTGGGGTGAAGAGTGTCTAGAGGTTACCTCCCCTTGAGGTCAGTGTCCTGTCTGTGCCCCTTTCTGTAAGTGTGTTTAATGTAGAGTACTTCATGCGGAGATCATGGCTACCCCTGCGTTTCTTTCCTTTGCTTGCAATGCAATGCAATGCAGTGGTATGCACTATACAGCATGCACTGGCATAGCATGCAGTGTATACCACTTCAGCAGTATACCATATACTGTTTATATTGATGGAGTATACAGTATATTGGCATAGTATACAGTTTACTGTATGTACTGGTACAGCATATAGTATGAAATATATACTGGTACAGTATGCAGTATACTAGGTCAGTATGCAGTATACAGTATTTGCTGGTACAGTATGCAGTATAGAGTATATGCTGGTACAGTATACATTATAGTAGGTCAGTATGCAGTATACAGTATATGGTAGTAGAGTATGCAGCATATAGTATATACTGGTACAGTTTGAAGTATGCAATATGTACTAGTGGAGTATGCAATATACAGTATATACTGTGCTGTATGCAGTATACATTATACACTGCTAGAGAGCAGTTACAGTATATTTTGGTACAGTATGCAGTATAAAGTGTGTAATGGTATAGTATGTAGTTTACTGTTATGTGCTGGTACAGTATGCAGTATACAGTATATATGAATAGAGTATACAATATACAGTATATACTGGTACAGTATGTACTATACTGTATACACTAGTAGAGTGTAGTATACAATATATATTGGTAGAGTATGCAGTATACAGTGTTTAATGGTATAGCTTAATGTAGATTACTGTATGTGCTGGTACAGTATGCAGTATACAGTATGTATTTGTACAGAATGCAGTATGCAGTACATAGTACATATTAGCACATATTAGCAGTGTAGATTCCATTTTCATGCTATAGATGAAACTCTCTGTTATGTAACCTTCTCAATTATGTAACCTTCTCAATGCGCTGATCCCTCAGTACAGCAGTCGACCTCACCTTTGTCCTCATGATCTCTCGGACCGCTGTCTCAAACTCCTCAGAGTTGTTGTAGTCCACAGTCATGACGTGAGGCCGCCCGATGTATTGCTCTGCATACGGGTGCTGAGAGGACACCTGCCACAAACAGACAGCAAAATATACCTGGACAATATTCAGCTGGTTCATCTGACCCATGGTATCAACGCTTTGTACTCAGCATTCTGGGCAATGAAACCGAATAGCCCTTAACCTCCAGTGAAACTTCAATTGTCCTAAAACTGCACTTTGCAGAATATTGTATTTTCATACAAGGTGCTGACCTCAGACAGCCCACAGGGCAGCCACTCTTAAGTCCTGCTTCTTGGATTCATGAATAGCTAAGAAAGATTCACAGGCCCTTATGGCGGCTCTTTGATCAGTATGCAGTTCACATCTCTGCTAGGCTTTCTGCTAAGCTAAACTGTCAAAGTTTGCTACTTGCAGTACTGGAGGTTCTGCTGTGAGTTGAAATTGCACAGAAAAAAAGCTCATCATAAAAAAATCCCACAGGGCCACAGTGTCAGCACATTGGTGGGTTGTCAGGTTTAGGTCAGCTGCACTTTCTCCAACATAAAAATTTGCCTGTGAAGAAAAAGATCTCCAGAGTAATTTGATCATTTTCCAGCTGCTGTCTTGCAATTTACCAGAATGAAGGATCTAATTTTGAATATAATAAAAGCCTCATTTCATTCAAATTTGAGGCAAATGAAAGCTAGCAGGAACCAGTTAGCAAGATTTCATTACCATGGTGCTAACTGGCCTTCAAGTATAATTAACAACTCTTCACATTTGAATGGCTCACCTCTCTGGATGTAGGCTTCCCCCTGAAAAACTCATGATTGAGTGAGCTGTGGGGAGGGTGGAACTTGGGTTGCAGGTAAATACACCCATTGGCTATTGCTTCTAACGGGGCGGGGCCTTCATAGGGAAAACCAAAACCAATGAAGAGCTGTGATGAAACAATAAAAAGAGTCAAGAAATCGTCCTTAAAATACACCACACTACTACATAATGAATGTTCCTTTGGTGTTGTACTGTATGCAGCATGAAATGTCACCTTAGCCTTGCGCAGAAGTTGTTGCAACTCCTGCTGGGGCAGCAGTCCATGGTTCTTAACAAAGGCAGGGACCTCCGGGGGGCGCTGTGTCTCATAGTACACCGTCCCATGTACCTCCATGTAGCGATGCAGAATCTGTAGGAACTTCTCTTTACCCTGGCAAGTGGACACCAGTGTCAGAAAAAGCCCACAATACAAACTCAAACATTCATATGTCAGCAGTGGCTTTAGAAGAGTCAGAAAAATGGGTCAATGAGTTTGTTTACATTCAATTAATAATCCAATAACTGCAGAAAGTACGATTTTGCCAGTACAGCCAGCTGCATTTTAAGGTATGAAAGGGGCTTATAAATAAGCATTATTATTATTATTATTATTATTATTATTATTATTATTATTATTATATGCACAGACTGAAAAAACAAAAGAAATCAGAGTAAGGGTTCACATGCGTTGAGGAACCTGATCACTGAGCTCAAATCCAGTTCTTTTTATTGAATTTCTTAATCAGATTTCTAGACCTTACTCTGATCTAAAAAATCTGAGTGTGCTGTTTACACAACCACTTCAATAACTGGATAACTGCAGAAATCTGACTCTGATCAGATTATTAAGTGCATGTAAATTTAAGAAGAACATTTTTGAGCAGAGGTCTTCGACTCTGGACGGTGAATCCAGTTTCTGGTCCTGGATTTTGTAATCACAGGTACACATGTGAATGTGTACATTAGGGGCAATGTCCAAACCAGAATGAACAGTAATCAAAGAGAATCTCCCCAAGAATTAATAATCAATTCACTGTTTTTAAAATTTTGAATATTCTTCTGCCAGCCTCAAACAAGAGTAAACATTAAAATGTTAGCAGCTGGCTTTCTGAAGAATAGAGAAAGAGACAGTGGGAATGAATAAGAATATTGTAGAGCTGAAGTCTTTAAATCCAGACCTTGAATCCAGTTCCTGGCTCTGGATTTTGTAATTGCTGATAGGTACGACACCAGGCGGTCAATTAGTTGAATAGATGGTTAACTATACTCTTAAAAAAAGATGGTGCTTCAAGGGTTTTTAGTAAATGGTTCTAGATAGAACTATAGACACTCCAAGAACCATTTGCATAATTACCCTTTACAAGGGTTCCTTGCATCATGAAATTGTTCCTCAGACTGATGGAAAAATGTGCTGTAGATAGATCTATATATAACCTTTTTGAAAATGGTTCTATATAGCACCCAAAAGAGTTCTTCTTTTGTTACAGTGTTAAGCTTGTAACAATATAAGAACCATTTTTGATGCTATATAGAAACGTCAACAGCACATTGATGCACATTTTCCATCAATTTGAAGAACGCTTTCATGATGCAACGGACCCTTTAATCATGCAAAGGGTTCTTTGAGTGTCCATGACTCTATATAGAACCATTTTCTTTACTAAAAACCCTTGACACACCATCTTTGTTAAAAGTTTACCAATGGCTGCAAAGTCCAGGACCTGAAACTGGATTATAGATCCAGATTTAAAGGGAGTTTTGGTCTATGAGCCCTGGAATTAACATGAATTTGTGGCATTGCATTCACTCTTCATTGGCTTCAGCAGCGATAAAGATATAACTGTTATTCATTATGATTCACCATGAATTTACAAAAGGATCTGAACAGCCACTCTCTTTCCCATTCTGTATTAACCACTGAACCACAATCGCTGAGAAAGACCCACCTGTTTAGCCCATGGGTTAACTCTCCAAACATTTTAAATGTCACCTGGCACCACATCAAAGCTATGGCTGCCCCCTCACACTGAACGCTCTCACTGTGACAAGCCCCATGGCGGCCCTGTCACCGTGGCTGGAATGTAAAGCAGTTTGCAGCTTCTGGATCTGAGGAGTAGCACCATGCTTGCAGAAGCTGCTTGCATATTTTAATGGCTTTCCAAACCAGACTGGCCTAGTAATAATGGGGGTGCAGACAGGAGAGGCCAGCAGACAGAAGGCTAGTCCTGGGGGACTGCTGTACTGGAGAGTGTAGTTTTTTCGCTAATGTACCCAATTCAAATGATCAGCTGATTATAAGCTTTCATAAATTGAATCAGAAGCATTAGAGGAGGGAGGAAACCAAACCTGTCCCCCAGGGCAAAAAATTCATTAAGAAATTAGTTCTATTGATTCCGGGATGTGTCTATTTTCTGGGATATGTCTATTCCAGGATATGCCTGAAATCAAATAAATATATCCATTGGCTGTTGTCTCTAAAGAGGCATGTCCTTCACAACAAAAAGTTTGTGATAAACCAAGAAGAACACTGTGAGCATAGTCAAAAGGCCTGCTCTGAGGGACCACTGTGCTAAACAGTTTATTATTGGTCTGTGCAAAAGTTACAGACTTTATTTCATTTATTTAAGTTGAATACTAAATCCCCAAGTTTTTCTGCACTGAGAAGACAACTCAATGCTATGGGTCTGAAAGGATGTGTAGCTGTCAAGAAGTCTCACTGAGAAAAGTACAGACTTTAGTGTGGGTAATCTGGGTAAGTGTAAACATACAGTAGTTGTTCAGAAGTCAGAGAGTACTCAGGTTTATTTCATTTCCAATCAGGATGACCATTAAGAAAAAGGTATTTATTGTCCAGGAGGTTACATATAAGATAATTCACTTGCATAACGAAGGAGAAAGTCAAAGGAAAATGAGTGAAAAACAGCACTTCCCAAAACTGGAATTCAAAAACATGATTCAAAGCCACAGAAATAATGGGACTCCTAACAACCATCTGGAAGACCTGGTAGACACCAAAATTGTCCCCATCAGATAAACAGCAGTTAAAGCTTTCATCTTTGAGAGAGAGGAGAAAATCAAGCTGCTTCAGATCTGAAAACGTCCACAGGTGTTTCTGTCCATCCTTCCACTGTGAGAAGACAACTCAGCGCTATGGGTTTAAAAGGGTGTGTAGCTGTTCAAGAAGCCTCACTGAGAAAAGGAGACAGACACATCAAACAAAGAAGCTGAACAATGGACTGACCACCCCAGAGCCCAGACCTCAACATCACTGAATGTATTTGGGTTACTTCAGAAATGATGAATCAACTTCTAAGACTGAACTTTGAAGGAGTGTCTGCAGATTTCTTTGAGAAACTGAAAGTGAGTCTCCTGAAAAGATTGGCAGCTGTAATAAAGGTCAAGAGTAGATACACTAAATACTGAAAACGATGGACTTTATTTAGTTCTTGAGGTTTCTGAGTAATTTCCTGTTAAATATCATTTCTGTTTTTCTTTAAGTCTGTCTTGACTAGATAAAGGTGGTATCTGACATTTGCACAGTATTGTACATCTAATTTTAAAACTAGCTAATTCAAAAAGCGTTCATGACTTGGATCTAGATTCAATTACAGGTGAGAGAAAGACAAACTATGAGAGTCTCCCAGTGCTTGGACAAAGGATCATTCCAAGATTTGTCCAAGGTTAGTTCAACAAGATACATCTTGTCTCTGCAGTGATACATGTAAGGTATTTGAAAGGAATTGCAATAAAAGAATATGCAATGGTGCTTAAAATGCCAAGTCCGCATTCACTGTCCATTTGCATCAGAAGTTTAAGAGATATAATTCATAATGATTCATAAACACCCAGTTCAAATTATCAGCTAACTTTAAATGCTTTGCTTGTCTTGAATCAGGAGTATTAGTTGAACATTTGCATTGCATCAGTTTAGGAGTAAAACCAAATGGAAGCAGTTCCCCAAAGCTTTCTCCAAAGATTCACTACTCTAGTGATTCCGGGATTTATTTAAACTCTACTGACCAAGACCCACCTTGTCTCTACAGTGTTTTCCGTTTACCCCTGCATCAGTCTGAATAAAAGGGCTACTCTCAGAAATATCTGTTAAGTCTTGGGGTAAGTTCTTACCCTGCTGGTGAGGGTACAGAGGGGATTAAAAGTGTAGCCCTCTGACATAAGAACACGTATCTGGATTAACCATGAGAACAGGAGTGAGCCCCTGCCGTGCCAAGTCTCCACAGGCTCTTCTCATAACGGGATTTAGGGGCTTTCAAAGCAGCAAAAGAATTAAGCCTCAAATATATCAGAGCCTTTCAGTTTTTTTCTCTGAGACTCCCTTAACTAATGTCCCTGTGCCACCAAGGGAGAAAAAAACACACAGACAAAATCCATCTACTTTAGTACCGTATAAAAATGCTTTCTGCATTATAACCAACTAGTTATTTCTCTGAGGACGAGTGAAGGTTAAAAACATGCAAATGATTTCAGCTCTTCCATGTATGTTCCCGTCTACACTCTCAGAAATAAAGGTACTGAACTGTCCCTGGGGTGGTACCCTCAAGGGTACATCTCAGTACCTTTAGTCAGGGAACATAATTATACCATAATCCATTGAAATGATATTTTCTAAGCTGTATTGACTCCACACACCCCGTCTCGTCTGTTTTAAAACATCAGGTTATGGTAAGATACAAATATGTACTATATTTTTCACCTGGGAAAAAAAAAACTTATGTAAGGTGCACAATCAGACCCGAAAACCACTGTTGTGCCATTTACATTGTTTGTACCTTGATGAAGGAAAAATGTATCTGCACAGAACCCTTATTTCTAACAGTGTAGGGAGGAAGGTTTGGTTGGTTTGGCATTGTTTTTGGGGTCAAGTCCAAGGTCCTCAAAAAACTTGAGGCCTTCCTATTGACTTCCATAGAGCGTCTAAGCAGCTTACACTCATTCCATTGTGTGGTCTGTAGATGTAATTGGAGGCCAGGGGGATCGATAGCTTCCTCTTCGAGGATTTTCCAAGCCAATTAGCAGATTATCTCCAGTACTAAATGCAGGAGACAGAGGAAATGAAAACCAAAGTAAATGTTGCCCTGGTGAAGCCAGGGGTGAGGACAAGGCATCTGATTGGAAGAGGTTACAGGAAAATCACCTCATTGATGAAATAACATGCCGGTTCAAAGACCTCCACCAATTGCAACTAATAGCAGAAGATGACTGCTTTGGCCCATGCTTGGGTTCAAAATACTCCCTGACCAACCATATTAGGCCAAGCTTGGGTGGTGAATTACTAAAGAGAAAGCCCAAGCAGTCTTTTTTGCCTCGCTAATGAGAACATCGATAAGGGGGGCGAAACAAGGTTTTCTCTTGCTTTGTGTGGACATGCAAATG